TATTTTGTATTTCAGTTTTTTAAAATTTACAGTGGATTTCATCATTAGTTGTGAAACGAGGATCTGAGATTTTTAAGTCGTTTTTAAAGAATTTTATAGAATAAAATAAATTACTTAAACTTTATTATAATGAGTGATTTCCATCAATTACAATTTTTACAACTATGATCAACTAATTTTTGTTAAGATTCTAACTCATGGAAATCTCACCCTTTTGGTTATCACTTTATGACTAATTCTATTCTTTGTATGACTGCCACGGATCTTTTTTTTTCCTATGACTTGATAACGCTGCAGTTATTATCATTAGTAAAAAAAGAAGTTGTAGCAAAGGACCGCTCGAATTTTATCAGTTTGTAGGTATTCTTCAAGAAAATCCATTCATATCTTCTCCACTAAAAATAGACTTTGATTTAAAAATTCAACCAGTTTAATTCAAACTATGTTTTTGATGTGATTGGGTTAGACAATTTTTCTCAGTGAAATCAAAAGCTGTACAAAATCACATAATTTCAGATACTTATGCGAAAATTGGGGTACAACAGCCGGCCCTATACAACAACGTATCCTTGAAAGTAAGCTTTTAGATTTGTAATTGAAATCGAAAGTTACAGATCGACACTACTAACTATTCGGACACTTTTTCAAGCAAGTTGTAGCAAAATCTCTATAAAAATAGTTTTTCTTTGCAGCGAATCCAATACTGGAAGCATTTGGCAACGCAAAAACGCTTCGAAACAATAACTCTAGTCGTTTTGGGAAATTTGTAGAAATTCACTTTGGCAGTGATGTAAGCATTTCAAATTCTACTGCTTTTTCAGTCGTGTCAATAGCTCTAACTTCAGGATAAGGTAGCTGGTGGATTTGTGTCACATTACTTACTTGAGAAGTCCAGGCTATGTCGTCAGGCCAAAGGCGAACGAAATTATCATATCTTCTATCAGCTAATTGCTGGCGCACCAGCCGATCTCTATAAGAGGCTTTGTTTAGCTTCTCCGGATAAATTCAAGGTGAGCATGGCACCTATGCTTGTTTTGTTTTTCAAACGTTATTTTTTTCACGAATCTCATTGAAATTCTATCTTTAGTATTTAAAACAAGGAACAACGACATTCTTTGCAAGACCAGGATCGAAGTCAAAGATTGCCTCGGATAGACTTAGCGAACAGGTGAGGGACTAAACTTGAGTTGAGCAAAAATTATATTTATTATTCTCCGATTACAACAATTTAATTTTAATTTCAATTTTTTTCTTTATTTTCTTATTTTTCTAAGCTAAGGTGTAAAATACTGAGATTTAATAAAAATACTCTTGCTACATTGGATTTTAATTACATCCATTTGACTAATTCAAACTCATAGGAATCTCTTTTCAGGCTAGAAAATCAGGTATGCTGACAGATTCAATAGTAGATGATGCAGCCGACTTTTTACATCTTAATGACGCTCTTGGAAGGGCTGGTCTTTCGCCAAATGAGGTAAACTTGGTGTATCTTTCTGTGATGATATTCTAATATGTCAAAATTTCAAAACCAAAAAACTCGTCAAGATAAGAGCATAGCTGAGCTTATCTAGGCTGTCTAATCAATAAGATGTAAGCATTTTCGATTTGCTGCGTAGTGTGCAATTACACCACTACACCAAATATTTGTTTTTG